TATATATAATATATTAGGTGTGGGAAAAAGTTCGTGGCGTTTTTTCCGTTAGATGGCATTTAAAAAACGCCACGAACTTTTTCTCATACCTAAATATAATTTCTTTTTGCGCACCAATTACCGCACTGTATTGATGCTGTCATTATCCGATATACACATATTAAATTTTATTTGATGTCATCTTTCGGAAGGTAATGGTAAACCGAAAGAAATCTTTGCCATAATAACTTCCCTGATGAAAATAAAAATCGGAGTGTAAGTCGAATGTATAATGGAAGAGTAATAAACAAAGCTTTATCACATTCGTAAACGCTTCTTTTACATTCCATTATTTCAATTTTCGTCTCCTAGAATTAAATAGAACCTTTAACGCTGGATCTAAATCGGCTATATCAAAAGTTTTCAGCAAAAATATCTCAATGATTTATCATTGCCTTTCGAGAGGTGACAATCAAATAAAATCTGATATATATGTCTGGATGAATTTGATCTAGATTTGACACATGCAGCCATGCAAATCTCTATGTAACTAATATCCTTACAAGACTTTATATATATGTGTGTGTGTGCGTGTGTGTGCGTGCGTGCGTGTGTGTGTGTGTGTGTGTGTGTGTGTGTGTGTGTGTATGTGTTATTAATGAAAAATAATTCTGTTTTCACGATGAAAAATAAAGCGTTAGATACATAAGATTTTTAGGCATTTATATACAAATCATTATCGTTCGTGTTTACTCCGAGCAGTAGAGTGCATACAAAGATACTGTTCTTTTTTCCGATGAGTACAAAGTGCGCTAGATTAGAAATGTGTGATTAAACATATTTTAATATTCTTTTTGAATATATGTTTTTTGTAATTTTGTATTAGTTTTATGAAAATAGAAATGAATCTTATTAATTGATTGTGATTGATAAACTTTCTAATGATTACAATATATCTTAACATAATATATATTTTTATATTTTTTTAAAAATATTTTTTAATATGCATAATTTTATAATTAACTTTTTTCAAGATATTTTTTTTCCGTTTTTATAAAATGATTTTTTAAAACATCGATTTTTTTCTACTAAATTTAAATAAATTTTTCTTCCTCTGTAATAATTTTATAATCTTTTATATTTTGCTTATATTACTTTTATATTATACTGAAAATAAAAATTTGACAACTTTTTTTTATATGTTAAAAATAACTTTTAAACGTATACATTTTTTAATGTATAAACAAATTTTTTAATAAAATGATGTCTTTTAAAGTGTCTTTTAAAGAAATTTTTTTTTAAATTAAAAAATTTTTATATGGATTAAAGAATTTAAAAAAAGAAAAATAATACAATGGAAAGAATTAAATTCGGAAAATTCCATATATATTTTCTATATTATGTTTATTAGCAGACGCGGTAGCGTCTCCCGTTAAGTATATTTTTGTAATACATTATGAATAAAGGGGATAATATTATGTCATGAAAGAAATGCTATCCTTTACAAGAAGGAACTCGTTTATGTAATTAAAATTTTTTGTTTAAACAAATTGATGTTATAAAAAATATATTTTTTCTGGATTATGTTTATGATAATAATAAGATCGGAAATACTTGTATTTTTTTATCACACGTTCTGATAATTATAATTGTATTGTAGTATACGATACATTAACATTTTTGTTTTTCTTTCGCAAGTGCTCTTTTTCCTGAGATCCGAAACTTACGTATTGATCTTTTTTTAGAGACAAATATTAAACAAATACAAAATATTTCTTGTCTCTAAAGTTTTTTTAAAAAAGTACATTTCCTTGTTGTAAATAAGAGACAATATTGAAACGTATTTGACAACATATTCGATAACACTTGTACATCAGTTATATCATTCAGATTAATCTCTGTTTTAATTAAAAAAGTTGAGTAATGTCACATTATCATTCGTTATCATAAGATATTCTGGATATAAAAATGACATGATAGTAATAGCATCGAAACAATCGTTTCTTGAACGTAATCGATTAAAAGAAAAAAATGAAGACCGTTATTTTCATCTTGGCATTACTATGTACAGTTTATGTGAGTTCAATAAATATATAATATCATATTTAAGAAGAGAAAAATCTAAATCACTCTAAATAAAATAAATATTTAGAAAAGAATATAATAGATTTTTTCATTTTTTTGACCAGAGTCTCTAATATTTTCTTGAAAGATTGAAAGTTATATCTATTATTTTATAATATCAATTTTTAAATAATTTTTATAATAAAAAGTATAAGAAAATAATTTTGTTTCGTTTTTCTTTAGAAAAATCATGCGTATCTGCGAGAAATATATATATATAGAATCTCCGTTTTTATATTTTATATTTTAATAACAAAGCTTTCATATGTATTTTTTAAGGCATTGGAACAAAAGGAGACAAATTCTTCGCTCAGTCTTGAGCGATTAGTGGATGTAGAAAAGGCAGCCACCCAAACTATACTGTACGGTCTATTATTTTTCGAAGAGCGAATGTCGCAGAATTTAGAAGTGCACCTTGAAAAAATAAAAAAAAACGCTTTAGATGATATTACCAATACTATTAACAGAGCACTAGAAAATGTCAATGTGAATATTATTCATTTTTATCATATATTTAATAAAGAAAGACAAGTATATGGATTGTACAAGAAATATTTAATATTATAATTACATTTGAAGTCAGCATTACAGTAATTTTTTAAATAGATTATGAGAGATGTATTTACATAAAATATATACAAATGCTTTTTTAGCTGTCCATTCATAATGGAGAAGAAGAGGGTAAAAATGTAGACAAGTGTTACTATTATGCGAAGAATAATCTAGAATCGAAAAGGATAAATGCGGTTGCTGGATTGGATATGTGCATCCAAAAGGGTCGCATGGCCATGGAAGACCCATTAGCAAACGTAATCAGCAGTATTCAGGTAATCAATTTATGAAAATGATAAAATTTTATTATACGTTAATTTATTAGAATATTATTACAATATCCCTAGCGAAAAAAAATTTTTAAAAACTACATAGATTGAGACAAGATCTTAGAAATTCTTAATTTTTCGTAGTATATATTCGCAGTGAGATATAGAGTGGCGTTGTTTGAGGGCGGAGGATCTCTAAGTTTTTCAAAAAAATAAAAAAATAAAAAAAAACGCCGCTCTGCGTCCTACTACGAATACATATGAAAAACTAATAATTTCTTTTGTCTCAATCTATGTAGTTTTTCGTAAATCTTTTCCGTCAGGGATAGAAATCTTCTCTTTCATTGTAATCACAATTTTGAAAATGTTTATATAGTAATCTCTTTTTAATTTACTGATGTTATCAAAAAATTGCATTTAAATATAACTTCCTTATTAAAACATATAGGATCTATACGTTTTGCGAATTTATAATTTCTATGTAACTATATCTTTCATTACAAATAAAGGAGTATTGCAATTTATAACGCTTTAATTTTAAAATTATCTTTCAAGGCGGCGAAAAAATTACTAAGTGATTTGAACGATATCATACCAAATTGTGATTCTACAAGCTTCCTTAGAAAGCAAGCTTGTGTCTTGAAAAACCTTTCCTTAACCAAAGAATCACTGAAAAGTGTCACTAAGAATTCTGGGGAGACGGTACTTACCGCAACAGGCAAATACATGAAAACACTTGTAAAAGTGAAAAGTTGCATCATAAAGAATAATGCTGAGACTCACACTTTCAGCATGAATATCGTTAGTTATACTAATCATTGCATAAGAATTGCATAGCCATAGAATCATCTACTTTCTCGAAAGATTCAAATTTTAAAAAAAGATTAAATTTAATGTGAGCCTATACAATTCATTTTCAATTGATTCTTCATTTTTTAATTTATTTTATTTTTAATTAAAAGCATTGATCAAACTAAAGGTATCAATTGCCTTTACATCTTTTGTCTTTAAAATAGACAATGTTTTTTGTTCGAATAAAAAAATATCTCTCTATTTTTAGCGCTATGTGCTTTTTCCTTATAAATATGTCATATAATTGGATTAAACGATTTTTATATTCACAAGCGAAACAAATGTCGCTTCAGATAACTGTATAGTATAAAAATATTAAAAATAAAAATTATGATTATACCAAAAGATTTATATTCGATTAGTTTAATCTTCGTAAACGTATTGATTGATAGCAATATATTTATTGCATAAGGATAATGGTAGTAATGGGAACAGTAACAGCAACAACAGCGATAGCAGCAGCAATAATAACAATAGTATTATTTATAATTATATTTATCATTAACATACTTCGATAGAATTATACATATTATTAATTATAATCGCCACGGTCATGATTATCTTCACTTATATACACGTGCATACGTATATATGCGTAAATCCATGAAAGCACACTTGACAATGCGAATATTTTGCACTATCATATATACAGAGCGTCTCAGAAATCGCGCACCTTCTTTTATTGATTCCTCGACAAGTTTAGAATCAACTTTTCCGTAATGAAAATTGGACTTCACCTTTTACATCTATTATACTGCACACATATCAAACATCTTGACAATCGCATCTAAATATTACAAATTTTAGATTTTTATTCATGCATCTTGATTCCTTTTTCAAGAGCCTTTTAATTATTAATCGTTCAGCAAAGGCTCGATACAGCTAATCATCATTATTCGGCATCAAGTATCTAGAAGAAGTGCACGATTATTGGGACACCTTGCGTATGCATATATTTCATACGTTAAATTTGTATTTCATAAGAATATCATATATACACAGGGTGGCCCAGAAATAATGGGTATAAACAATTGAATTCGATTGTTTCTTGGTAAAGACTCAAGTAGGTTTTCATTAGGTGTATAAAATCAATTATTGGAGATTTTACCGGGGAGATTCGCATGAAAATAATTTAATGCATCGACAGAATCAGTGCGCCCGCTGTTGGCTACATATAATCGTTAAGCGAACGTACATTGGAACAAAGGGAGGGGATTATATATTAAAGCCCCTGGCGAAGTCGAAGTTTTACTAAATTTAATTATAAACCGAAAATTGAGTAAAAGTAACCGAGGATTAACAAAATTACTTGAGACTTGAGTGGCAATTATTGGTACCGCGATGCATAATACTATCGTATTACATTGCGTACTACTGCAGAAAAGCATGCTTACCTTGTACTTTCTATCTTTCTAGGAAATTGAATCTTAAAACATTTAAACATATCTTAATAGGCGCACAATCATTTCTTTTTACTACAAAAATCTGAAATACAACATTAATGTAAATATTCTTTGTATTTCGTACGAACTATGTGAAAGCTCGCTCCCTCTATCGAAATAAATATCACACGCCGTTTAATTACTGTTCTAATAAGGACTATAGTAGAATTAAAATATTACAAGCGCATACTTATTGATATGGCTATCAGGATATAAAGATTCATTTTTATAACGTTAAATTTTCCTAAGTGGATTATATATGCTGTCTTATTTACAAAATACAGTCTGCGTAGAACTGTTCGATAGACCATACAATTGACGATTAGCTCACCGCGCACTTGGGATCCTACTGTTTTATATACAGTAAAAAATCTTAAAAATCGATGTGCATCGCGGTACAAGAAGAGGAATCTCGTTTCTCATTTTGCAACGTTTGAAAATTGCAAAAGTATCTTATGTAAAACGCATTACAGATGACACGTCCAACGAAGGAGAAATTTTTCTAACAATAAGTCATATCTGTAACAAATTCTCTTCTTTTTCTTTCTAAATCGAGATGGCCATATAAACATCCCTAAGTTTAAAATAATTGTTTATACGAACAAAGTAACATGTTTAGCATTATACATATATATACGTGCGTAACAAGCCAAAATTTTCATAATATAATTTTATATTTCAATATTTATATATATGTATATATATATATATAAAACAATTGAAAATTTTTCCGAGTAGAAAACAAAGATTTGAGGAGTTGCCATGCCATTCGCGTGAATCTCGAACTCGTTAAAACATCTTACGAGACACTACAAAGTATCTTAGTAACTTTATTGTAACTTTATCTTATTTTCGTTCTATTTCGTACGAACCATTTTTACTGACAGCAAATATTCGATTCTGTCTAAGTATAATAAGCTATATGCACTAGAGTTTCTCTGTAAATGCAATTGTACTTAACAAATTATGAGCAAATTCTTTTATTATAATTTACTAACAGTATACTGCTATCTGTGTTCCCGACCCATATATTATCCTCTCTGGTGCAACAACGACTCCTATATTGTTTGAAAACCTCGAGCTATTACTCTTTCAGTGAAAATTAATCGACAACAAATCGAGATAAAAAAATAGAGAAAAAAATAGAGTTCATATGTTTCGCCATACCCGATAAGAGAGCATATTATAATTACAATACTTAAAAACGAGATGCGAATCCTTGACTTAAAGAATAACAGAGGACTTATATATGACAAGTCAAGTCCAGGGAGTACATAATTCAAGATTGCGATATTTCAGAGGTCAGAAAGTCGGATAAA